TATTAATTTCTTAAAAATATGGCGTAATGTTTCTTAACTATAAGTTCTCAAAGGTTTTAATGTTGGTTTCAATTTTTCCTTGGTTTACATTTATGCGCATTTTAATTTTTCTTAGTTATGATACTCAACTTATACCAGTTTTTTCATTATTTCGATTGTAACTTAATGATGTTAATGCTAAGTTCTCCTAATTGTAGTTATTTAGTTTAATTTACGTACAATGCAAATTTTTATTAATTATAGTTATTTTTTATTAACATTTTGTAAAACAACTTTAGGAAAATTTTTAATTTTTTAAATGTCAAAAATTTTTCATTATTTTGATGTCATGGCATTTAAACTTATTTTTTATCTATATCATCTATATTTATTTATTCGCTAATTTGCAATTATACTACTGTTTTATTAAAAATATATTTTGTGAATATTTGGATTATATTTGATTTTTTATTATTTTTCAATCATGGCTATGCGTGGAAATTTAACTGTAGCATAACTCTTATACGAATAATTTCGTAATCTCTTCTTAAAGAAGTAAATGTTAGGGAAATCTGTTTTTAACGGTTAACAAAATGTATTAATAATTATAAGAAATACATATAAGAAATACACATGGAAATCGAGAAAAAAAGTTATATATTCATTTATTTAAATCGAAAGTCTTATCTCTTTACAGGAAGGGTTTATAAAATGAAAAATTATGCTCGGGCTTTCAATAGTTGCACAATATATACATCACAGTATATGTCATGCCCTGCGAAAGATTTTATTCATTGCAAATTTTTCTTGCTGAAAAGCAGAAAATTTTGTATTTGCTGTTATTGTATTTGTTTATTATGCTACATACATACATACATACCTTACCTTTGAAAAAATTTAGTCAATAAATAATTGTGTCAGTAAGTATTACAAGTAAGTACAGTCAGTATTTTTACAATATAAGGCATATTTTAACGAACTCTCAATCTTTAAAAATGACTTTTCATTTCAAATCTTAAAGATAATAATTAATGTATTATAAAAACTAATAGAACCTTGCTTCTTTATTATTAATATTTTTTTTCGTCGCCATTAGGGTATAATATAATCTTTTACTAACAAAAACCTACTTTTTGTATTAATTAAATTTTCTTTCCTATTGCTATAAATGCTATAATTATATATTAATAAATATATATTAATGTTATAATTTAAAATAATATTTTAATGTTATAATTTAAAACTGAAAAATAAATCTTTATTTATTATTTTCTAAAAAAAACCATCACTGCTTTTGTCCAGTAAGTGCCAATGCAATAGCCAAGGTGTATACAATCGCCGATGTCGACAGAATAATTTCGTCAACAAAACTTTATGTTAATAAAATATACAAAATAGAATATTGCTTAAAATTAAATTTCTTTATTCTTAGTTTGCATATATTTCTGGTTTTACATACTAAAGTTAATTATAATTTTGAAAATTTAAATTTTTTACATAATAGATTTATCAATAGGGTGAGATGAACACGTGCGAATATATATATAATATATATTATCAAAATAAAGGAAGAAAAAAATATATAAAGAAATTTTGATTATAGATATTTCTAATTTCCGTTAAAAAGGCTTCAGATATTTTATTTCGATTTTTTTGATTGCCATTATTGATAGTAAAGTCGTACCTCAATTTTCACTGGCATACTACTAGCATTGCAATTTTTAGCTATACACAGGGCTGACGATTCTAAGGTTGCTCAGTAATCTCTTAATTTATTCCTTTCCTTGTGCGTCAGACATAGTTTAATGCATTTTTTGTCAGTATACCTGGTGTAGTAATTGTTTTTGTCTGACTTTATTACTTTCTACATTTAGTCATGTAAATTTGAAATGCATTTTCCTCACATTTTAATTTTCAAACTTCGTAGTTTACTTTGATTTTTTGTTAGTTAATGAAAATCCGAAGAAAATGATATTTTTTGAAAATTTCTCTATAATAATTTTTATTCCTCGGTCTTTGTTATTTTTCAAACATTTTTAAACTAAATGGTACTTTTTGCTCATTTTTGGGATTAATTTTGTAACCCGTCATTCTTAATTCTTATTAATAAAATAAGTCTTCGTGAAAACTCTGTAATAGTGTTAAGGAGTACAACAAATTTTTCAGATTTATTTCTTGTTTAATTGTAAATATTTTTTTAAAACTTCATTTTCATAGGATTTTAACTTTTACATTGTTTATGTTAATGATATTTTTCTAAATTGCTTTCTCTATATTTTTTAGAATAATTTAGTCATTAAATATATTTCATTAAATTTATACTTGAAATTTTTTAAATATTTTAAAAGTATATAACATAATTTCCCAATATCATTAGGTTTTTCAATAATTTTTTTAAAATTTTCATTAGTCTTTTTCGCTATCTAGCTATCCAATTTTGTTCCGAATAGCTATAATTCGAAAAACAATATTACATTGTTAAGTTAAAAAAAAATTATAATAACCATGTATAACATACAATATACTCTAATATACAATACACTCTAATATACAATAAATGTTAGGTTATAATTTTAGAATTAACAATGTGTTTAGATTATACTTCGTTAAATAAGAAACATATTTAAATATGGCACACTGGAAGATATATATACATATATTTTAATTTGTGTAAATATATATATATTTCCTTTTATGTAAACTTAATTTTTATCTTAGACTAAATCAGATGATTTATTAAAATTAAAAGTCATTTTAAAATGAAAATTAATTCCTTCATTTGTTTTAATTTTTTTCATCCCTTGTCCTTTATCATGAAAATTGAATTAATTTTTCTCCTTGGAATAAAGCAGAAAAATCTGAAGACTTGTTAAAATTCAGAGTCATTTTAAAATAAAATTCAGTTTGAGAAATCAATCTCTTTTACGTCCTTCCTTTGTTTTATTTTTTTTTTTTATACCTTGTGCTTTATCATTAAAATTAAATTAATATCATAAAGTTAATTTTAATTTTTTGTATACTGAAAATTTATATTCATGATTAAATTCAAATCTATGTCAGAATAAATATGTAAATCACAAATTATTCCTGATTCAATATGTTTTTGCGGAGCGAAAAATCATTTCATGTCATTATGATTAGAATGCATCTACAAAATGTCTTGCTCAACATTAACAAATTTAAAGGAGTAAAATTACAAAATTAATTAAATGTTAATGCACTTTTTTTCTTTTTAATTTGTTTTCGATTGATAAATCATTTTTTGTTAACTAATTTGTTGCTGTGAATGTAATAGTTAAATCATAGTCATAAACAACGGAAATAATTTAAATAATTACAATTAGTTAATTACAATATAAATAATGCAACTAATTTTAAAATATTAGATCAGACGAAGTTTATGACTTTGCATTCAGAACATACCCTTAAAAAATATAACCCTATAGCCTCTGTAACTCTGTGGGGGAAACATTTTGAGCCTGTTAGGTGGGTCATCTTGACCATCATTTACTAGCAGGTGTTCCTTTGTAACACTCCTTACAATGCCCTTTGTTCATTTTGGGGGAAATAAGTTTGTGACGAACCATATCTGTCATCGTTTCTGAAATAGAGATAGCCTGATATAGTTTCTATTTTTTATAAATAAATTTTTGTCTTTTTGTCACTAAAATATATATATAATTCAGATTCGCTAATTGAGTTAAAATGGATGGGGATATTGAGTGGAACTTATTTCTTTTTTAGGAGATGTTTTATAAAAGCGTTTATTTTGGTGAGAGATTTTTTTAAATATTTTTTTTATGGAAGGTGCCAAAACGATTCTTTGCATCATGAAACGTTTTCTCGCTTTCTTAACAGATACGATTCAGATTTGTGAGGATATTGAGTACGACGTATTTCTTAAGGAGGGGTTTAATGTAAAATGTTTTTGTTTTTTTATGAAAGATACGTAATTTTTTATATAATTTTTTGAAAAAAGGACTGAAAATTATTTCTCGCATTATGAAAGTTTTTCTCGCTATTTTAATAGATATGATTCTGATTCTCTTATTAAAGTAAAGGTAATTAGTCAGACGTTTACGGTGGAACCTTCTCCGGACAAAATTTCGCGAGAGCAAAGATTCGCGGGAACATGACTTCGACAGGATAAAACTTCAAGTAAACAGATTCTGCAATGAGTAATTAGCATAAAATTATTATTAATTTATGCATTGATTTTAATAGAAAAAAAATTTATATCTTATACAATTTTAATAAATTCAAATTCATAATTATATTAGAATAATCCTGATAAGTAACTAACATTAAACGTTATTTATCATTTATTATTGAATTGGAACAATATGATATTTCTGTCTTTAATGCGGTTAAAATACAAAATAAAGCGAAATTATTTATTGGATATTTCATTCTGTTGTGTTTTTTTTTTTCTTTCATTTTTTTTATTCGCCTTTTGCTAACAAATTTAACTCCTATATAAATATTTATTACTTGAATTTTTATATGTAATCAAATGCCGAATTATAAGTTGCTTAGTTTTATTCTACATATGCAAATAGTTTTTCTATTATCTAGTTTTGATGGATATTATTAATTTTTTCTATTTATGATTAAATAATAAATTACACGGTCAAATACTAAACAACTCATTAAATAAAATATATTAAAATCAAATTCAATAGTAATCAACTAATTTAAATTAAATGAACTTTAACTTTGAAAGGAATCTTAATTTCTTATTCAAAGTTAATTTTAATTATTAATTATTTCACTATTTTTCTCGTGCTTAATTTGCAGTTCAAAATTTCATAGTCAAATAATAATTTATTTTCTGAAAATTTGCCATGAAAAGATTCTCCCCAGTTCTATTTCTCAAAAGTATTCAGAATGAGTGTGATTTCACTAGTAAGTAAGTACTGTTGCTTTGGAATGCAGCAATATAAAAGGTAGATAAGAAACCACATTTGAGAGTGAGTAAGGGTGTGATTATTCAAGGAAGGGAACAATTCGTAGTCGACATTGATGAATGGGCAACATATGCATTTAAGCGTAAACTGCTTTAATATGTATGGGGGTTACTCATATGAGTGCAAGGTTCCTCAAGAAAAGAAATATAGTTTAGTGTATTCAGAGGAACGTGAGTAGATGTTTAAAACTGTAAGGATGGGAAGTTATGCTATTGGAAATGATAATGGTAAGTACTTATACCCATTCTATATATAGTTGAATTATTATGAAATGCTAATAAATAATTTTTAATGTGAAGATTTGTTTTCGGTAATAAAATTTACTGAATTGCAATGCGAATTAGACAAGTATTTCCTTATTAATTTTGGAAAAAAGAACATTTTTTTTTATTTTCTTTTTTTTCTTTAACTTTTTTTTTTCTTCTATAAATTTGAAATGTTGTTTCTCCCAATGAAGTGACCAAGTTCGAGTCCCAGCTGCTGCTGGTTGATACGAATCCTGCTCTTTGATCGCACCCACTACAGTGCTGATATAAAATATCCTCGGTTGTAGACGGATCAGAATCCCTTTCTCATCGTGCTATAAAGGGGAGGTTTTCGTGGTTTTCCTCTCCATATAACGCACATGTGGGTTAGTTACAAAGTTAGAAGGCTATGGAGTTCCGCACTGATAGTCGTAGACTCAGAATTAAATTGGCTGTTCAACATCGATTGTAAAATTAATTAATTATAAATTAAATCAAATCGGTTTAGGTTTCCAATCATGTATGTGCCCTAATAGAAATAATTTACATTCTTATGCTCTACCGCTGTGCAAAAATTTGCAATATCGCTCTTTTTAAAATTAAAAGTATCATAACCAATAACCTTTAAAGTTATACGTGTGAACATTAAAATGTTAGGAGTTAAGTATTTAAAGTAGTATTCAATATATATATATATATATATATATATAATTCTCTTATTAAA